CACGTTAACTTGCCAGCAAATCACTGGATTTTTTTCTTAACTAATGACATGGCACCTTTTTTTATGAGTTGGCATTTTATTTAATTTAATTTAAAGATAATGATTTTTTTTTTCATCCATGTCATCTCTTCTTCCTCTTTCACTTTCTCTCTCTTATCGCTTCTTCTTCCTCTCTAAATCAAACCCAGATCTGGGTTTTTCTTAAACTCAGATAACTTCTTCGATACCACTAAAACGCAACAAAAGAGAAACTAAATCACAATCTAACAATAAAACTTCCATGTCATCTCTTCTTCCTCTTTCACTTTCTCTCTCTCTTGTCCCTTCCTCTTCCTCTCCAAATCAAACCCAGATCTGAGTTTTTCTCAAACCCAAATGACTCCTCTGACACCATTGAAACGCAACAAAGAGAAATTAAATCACAGTCTAAAAAAAACCTCAGATACATATTCGAATTTCATCAAACCAAGTCAACTCACATGGATGCAAATAAATCAAAAAGAAACAGTACCGAATCACCAGAGACTCGATATGCAGCAAACCAAAACCTAAATGCCGGCAAAATCAACACAGAAACCAACGAGCACTGGTTTAAAGAGATCAAAAAATTCTAGTTCTAGTTCCATCAAGACAAAAAAAAATAGCAACATCAGGACCAAAAATCAACCACCAGAGTTTGAAAAAACAGAACAAAAACCATGAGTTTGAAAAAATAGAACATAAACCACAAGAGTTCAAAAAACTAGAACAAAAATGAAGCTCGCATCAGTAGCTAGCTCGTTAGAGGCGAAAGCCCAAGAGATTGTAAACCACAGAGCCAGGTAGATCCCAAAAACCAGGTAGATCGTAGAAACCAGATAGATCGCAGAAAGCAGGTAGATCCCAGAAACCAGTTAGATCCCGACGCATGTTACTGTCGGAGCCGGAGCTGCCGGAGTCGGAGCTGACAGAACCGATCTCGACGCGGCCAAGCCTATAGTGAGCCTATGACGGCGCAAACCAGCCATTGCTGTTGCAGAGCCGTGCGGGGGCCATGACGCCAGGCTTCAAGCTCTTCTTCACAATAGTATCCGTCGATTCAAAGGAGAAATGGCGAGTGAGGAAAGAAGCGGAGGTGGATGGAGAAATGCAGTCTCAAGCCCCGATCTGGGTTTGTCTCAAACCCAGATTGGGGCTTGAGACAAACCCAGATCTGGTTTTGAAAAACCCAGATCTGGGTTTGTTTTGATGAAGAAGCAGCAACAGCAGCAGCTAAAACTAATGAATGGAAGAAAGCATGGAGGCTCACGAAAAAACTAAAGCAATCTCCACTTAATCCATCAATGGGCAAATCTGTGTGTGTTTGTTTTGGAGAGGAAGAAAAGCCAATAAGAGAGAGAAAAGAATAAGAAAGAAAATTAATTTTTTATTTTTTTGTTTTTAGTTTTGAAAAATTATAAAATAATAATAAAAAATATTAAATTTTCTTACATGGAATTTACACGTCATTAAAATTAAAAAAATCTAGTGATTTGCTGGCAAGTTA